CGGGCCCAAAGTGATCCATACATAAAATGTGGGAGACTGGTGACAACAATATCATCCTCAATGCAAGACCAATCAAGCACGGTCTATTCTTCTGAAGTCCATAGAAGCGGTTGATTTTTCACCATTTTTGAGTTGTGTAATTAAAGTCCTTATAACTCTTATTTATAATGGTTCAAGACCATGGCACACATTCCAAGGGAATTATTCTGGAATGACATTCGTACTGTCATTCCAGATACATAGTTCGGACTCTCACATTCCGGACAAACATCTTGAACACATAATCCTCGCCTTATAAATATGCATCTACCATCTACTACATAACTGATTATAAATGAAGTACATTATCAAACTAGTTACTTGAGAATGAGTTCAAATGAATTTGGTGTTTGGCATTGTGAAGAAGAAAATTTTTATGTTTGTTCGAATATTAACCCACTTCTCGAAGGACCAAATTTCCCACTCTCAAATAAAATGCTTGATGACATTTTCCAAGCGATGATGGACGCCGAAGAAGCCAACCTTAGGGACTCTGAAATGAGTTAGATGCTCAATCAACATTTAAACGATCTAGCAGAACAAATAAATGAAAATGAAAAATGGGTAACTGAAACTCAGAAAAACCCGAAGGAGGCTGAAAAGTGGATTTTAGATACAAATTCAAAGAACATGACTGTCTTACAGTTGTTAAAATTGTAGCAGATTTTATTGACTGAACAAAATATGCATCTTTTATAATTCCAAATTTGTGAAAACCAATTTAAGTATGTAATAACTTTTTGTAAGGTTCTTTTACCTATTGCGAATGTAAAGTACAGGCCTTTAAGAAAATCATACCATTTCTTTTACATATTTTAAGTTTAAAATGACATTACATTATCTAAAATTAATTTAAATTTTGAAATAACTGGGAATTTGCAAACAGTGCAAACTTGCAGTTTCTACATGATTTTCAAACAATTTCATATACTTCTCAATTAGTCATAACACATTCAATCATTTTGTACTCGTTCTTCTATTGTTGGTCCTGTCCTACTTGATCGTTCAATGATGTCCATTTGATCATTCGATGATGTCCATTGTATTTACAAACCGACATATATCTTTAAATATTGAACGATGAACATCTGTATATTATACAATGTTACTTTTCAATACTCCTCGGTCAGAAAATGCGGTAATGGGCTTTACAGTATTACCATTCGCTGTTTCGCACATTGAAAATCACAAATCATTTCTAACATAGTCGTATCAACAATACCACATTGCTCATCCTCAAGACGTAACATTTCATATTCTTTTGGCAGCGCATCCTGATTACTTGTCTCATTGGATTCTGAGACTGACACTAAAAAATATACAAATGTATTATAAAAGTGATTTGGTTCAAAAATATAACCATACAATATAAAACGTATCCATAGCAAAATTTATAAAATGACAACTAGTTTAAAAATAACATGTTTTTCTAAACTCGATCTGGTTTCATATTTAAGAGCTTTACATGCATTCAATTTAATTTTTAACACCCCTCTGATTTCGTTCTTAGTTTTATAGGTTCCGTTGGTGGTTTACTTGTGATTTTTTTTTTCTATTTCCACATCCGGTTTTTTTATCTGCAAAAACAATCCAAGCAAAAACTAATTTTAAATTATAGTATCAAAGATTTATAAAAAATATTTTAATTAAATATTACATTTATCAGGACCAATTCTGAAAGCTCTTGCAGATGGTATACAATTTCTTCGTCAATATAACTCACTTTTTTAGTAGCATCCATGCAAATTGATAATAGGTATCTTCGACGACACTGGTTTTGATTTCAGACTAATTTGTACGTATTGGTTTAATGCAAATTAATATTACTTCTTAACTGAAGAATATCACAAAAGAAAATAAAAAATTCAGACACACATTCTAGACTTATTTTTCGTATTCCGAACATTTTGGATACGTTCTACGAATTCCGGACACATATTCCTCATTACATTCACTACACAATCTACACTTATAAAAAGCTCTACAGAGTGCTACTAACAGATTATAAGCCAATTCTATGGTCAAAATGGTTAAAAAAACAATATATCTACATGCAATACACAATTCCAAACATGTTCTACGAATTTCGGACATGTTCTAAGCATTCTGGAGTACGTAAAATCGAATAAAAACTTAAATACAAGTACATAAATCAATAGAATTAACATGGTTTGATTAACTCATAGTATCAAATGTGAAAACCTTCAATATTTTGGTTGCCAAATATTAGAAATGAGCACGGTCCGAAATAATATCTCCGATATGTGAATATTTGATCCTCATATTTATATAATTGAACTAGGTTTGGCCTATGTATATCTACCAAATGTCTATTCCAAAAAAAAATAGTTATATATATATATATATATATATATATATATATATATATATATATATAAAAAGGAAGTTAGCAATAGTAACTTTTATATCTTTAGGTTTTTGCCACAAATGTTTAGTGAATTTGACACTTTTAGTTCTTAAAGTCAAAACTTTTACATTTTTGTGTTTTGATTACGCTTTTGTGCCTTTTGGTTTTTGCCACAAATCTTTAGTAACTTTGACACTTTTCGTCCTTGCAGTGAAAAGTTTTATATTTTGGTGTTTTTGCCACAAAAACACTTTTAGTCCTTAAAGTCAAAACTTTTACATTTTTGTGTTTTGATTAAGTTTTTGTGCCTTTAGGTTTTTGCCACAAATCTTTAGTAACTTTGACACTTTTCGTCCTTGCAGTGAAAAGTTTTATATTTTGGTGTTTTTGCAACAAATCTTTAACAAATTTGACACTTTTCGTCCTTGTAGTCAAATCTTTTACATTTTGACATAAAAGAACACAAAAAACCTCCTTTAGAATTTTACCACAATATTTTCCCAACTTTGACAACTTTCATATTATTGCCACAACATTTTTGGATTTTCTCCACCAGTGTCCCTTCTTTTGGCTGTACACTTTCGACATCTAATTTTAGGGGTTGTCGACTTTCTCTCCTATTTGTGGTGATTTACACTTTCAGTACATATTTTTTAAAGTTTGCCGATTTTCCCCATATTACCCCAAAAGCGGCGTAGCCGAGACTTCTTTACTAGTTATATATAAAAATTCCTTGGTAGATTACCCAATTTCCCTACTTTTAAATGTAATAAATACACTCTCATATACAATTGTTCAATTTACTCACCATATCATATTATAACTAGGCGAATGTCCACGCGTTGCGCAGAACACCTATATAGTTGAAATCTTTATAGTTTGTAACGTTGTTGTTAAATTTGATATAAAATAATTTGTATACTAAATTGATATAATATAATGATTGTTTTAAATTATATGATAATATATACATTTATTATAACTGCATAATCTCAACCGTTTGAATGACTTCTACCCGCGAGTTACTCATGAATAAATCAAATATAATATATGGTTTAATGTTATTTATAGTTGTTGTTATTGTTAATTAATTTTTTAAAATTTATTTCCTTAACGTTTTAATTTCTATCATTATAATTATTTAAAACATCAAACATTGTTTTTTGATTTCAAAGGTAACAATATAATCATTTATATAGAGTTTTTTTTTAACTATTGTTATTGTAAGTTATTTTAAGGTACTTATTTGAAAACTTTTAACGATTATACAAATATGTTTAGGAAATATTTTAGTTAATTTGAGATATAATTTAGTTTTTGCATTAGCACTACAATTTATCACTTTTAAGTATTCACAAAATATTCATTGAGTTTTTTAAGTGGAACTGAAATTTATATTTAAATTGATACTGTAATGTTATATTTAAATTAACAATTTAAGTATTTTGTCAAAACTGTTCAAAAGTTGTAGCTTTAAATTGATAATGGTTTACATACAACAACATATTAAATCTAATAAATTAAGTATAATATGTTAAAAGTTAAATACATAACTTTATAAATAGAAGTAAATATATTATTTTAATAATAAAATTTAGTTTATTTATGATTATACTTTATGTTTGATATTTATTTAACCTTATTAACAAACTTATAATCATTATTAGAAAGACACTACAATTTATCACTTTTAACTATTTATAAAATATTATTTGGGTTGTTTAAGTTAAACTAAAAATTATATTTAAGTTGATCTTGTAATGTTATATTTAAATTTATAATTTAAGTATTTTATACAAATTGTTCAAAAGTTGTAGCTTTAAAATGATAATGGTTTACATCCAACAATATATTAAAACTAATAAATTAAGTATAATATGTTAAAAGTTAAAAAATACAATTTTATAAGTAGAAGTAAAAATATTCTTTTAATATTGAAATTTAGTTTATATATGATTACACTTGATATTTATTTAATCTTATTAACTAAGTTATAATCATTATTAAAAAGAAATTGAAAAATCATGGAAGTTTTTCAAATGAATGTGGTGAAAGGAAAAATGAATGGGAGTTTCAAATGAATGTGGTGAAAGGAAAAATGTTTCTTTTATAAGTATATATAGATATGAAACACACGACAGACACGCCCACATGAGTTAGTCGAATTTTATTAAAAAACTAACCTAAATTAATTTCATATATCGATTTTATCGAATAAATTTTAATTAATAGGTTGTACAAAAGGAACCCATTAAGCCTACACCATCTCTAAACAAAATATCACTTGAAGAACGTTTTTGTTTTGTCCTATCATGGAAAACACAACGTAAACTTGTTTAGCCACGTCGACAATGCAGCTATACGTCCACGTGTCCAGATTTAAACACTTCCGCTCCCACACGCATACCATATCACAAAAAGCACATTCATCATGCATCAAAATTTGCCCGTATATTCTTCGGATTTTGACTTTTCAAAATTGTTGACCACAGAAATTCAACCCAAAAAGTGCTGAAAAAACCCACCAACCACTACCCTTTTGCCATCATCGCCATATAAAATCTTCAGTTCTTCACTCGTTCAATCAGAATCACGAACAACAATGGCGGCCACTCGATTGATACGCGCTTGGAGGCCATCATCTGTCATTTCCGCCCCTTCATCCTCGCAAACGACGTTCACATCGGTGAAGGTGAAGTGTATGAGCAACGCGATTGGGTTTAGTTTAGAGAACAATCGATTGCCCGGAGATGGAGAGAGAAAACCAGTGGTGTTAGCTAAGGCTGCTTCCTGCTCTGAGGCGGCGGTGAATGTCGTGGTCGCTGCACCGACGCAAACAAGCCAAGGAGTAGACGTGGCTACTCTGGTGGCGATTGTGAGAACGTCGGTGTTTAGGAGGTTATATGTGGTTACGAGATCTAGGTCATGGAGATCAATTGTTCAATTGTTCATCGAAAAGGTATTAATTGACTTGAATTTTTTGTCAGTATAGTTTTCAATGTTTACAGATCCATGAAAATTTCAGGCTATAATCGATTGCCGGTTTTTCACCATGTTCGCCGTAGCCGGAACCTTGCTCGGTTCAGTTTTGTGTTTTTTGGAGGTAAAATCACAAAATCCTAAGAATTTTTCATTACAATCATGTTTGTTTAACGCAAAATCAAATTAAAATGGAAATTCTGATTTGAATTACAGGGAACATTTTTGGTTTTTGAGTCGTATTTCCATTATTTCCATTCTCTGTGGCACCATTCCGATCATGGCCGAATCATGCAACTACTGATCGAATCTTTAGATATGTTCTTGATTGGAACCGCGATGCTTGTATTTGGAATGGGATTGCATGTCATGTTCGTGGGATCTCAATCCCAAGGATCGCAACTTCCATCATCAAACTTTTTCGGAAATTTCCATCTCAAGGTACTTTTACTAAAAAATTATTAGCTCATCTATACATATAGTGATATAGATATACGATATACATATTGTGTTCTTATTTAGTGTGTGTATTAATTCAGGAAATTCCATCATGGGTTGGAATGAAATCAGTGACACAAGCAAAGTCAATGATCGGGTATGCTTTAATGTTGTTGCTTCAAGTGGGAGTGTTGGAGAAATTCAAGAGTGTACCATTGGTTACAGGATTGGATCTAGCTTGTTTTGCTGGAGCTGTATTTGTTTCATCTGCTGCTTTATTTATTCTTTCGAAACTCAGTCTAGATACATGAATTTAAATTTTAAAACATAGATTGTAGATACCAAGTATCTATAGTATATGCATAAATTAAACCCAAACACACGATTCTTTGAACTAGTAAAAATCATTTGGTAGATAGGTTATAGTTGTTAGGTAAAAAAGTTTATATCTTGTAAGAATTTGCCACGAATTATTGAGAAATTTTGGTACTTTTACATATCCGTATGCATATTGAAACGAAAGACTCAATAAATCTGTTTTGTGGAAACTTATGGTCACGAAAATGGTTGATTGGACCAAGAACGAACACAAAAGAACAGGGAGGGGGTGTGGGTGTGGGTGTGTTCATGTTCGTTCTCTGCAGTCAATCAACAAATAAATAAATACGGTTATTGGGCTGAAAACAAATTTACAAAATAATAAATTAATTAACAACTAGCGGAAAAACCAGGGCTTCCCGGGCCGTTTTTTGTGATTTTTATAAAAAAATGTAAAAGTTTTGACTGTAATGACCAAAAGTGTAAAAATGGCTAAAGAATTGAAAGGGTTGGAATTGGCAAGTTTTTAGAAAAGGGACCAAAGTTGTCAATTCCTTAAAGTTTTGTGGCCAAACTTTGAATATTAAAAGGTTCTTAAAAAATGAAAACTTTTTGATTTTAATGACCAAAAGTGTCAAAATGGGTAAAAAAGAAGGGGTAAAGTTGACAAAAAAAAGGCAAATTTACTATAAAGGGTTGGAATTAGCAATTTTTTATAAAAGTGACCAAATTTGTCAATTCTTTAAAATTTTGTGGCCAAACTTTGAATATTAAAAGGTTCCTAAAAATTGAAAAAATTTTGATTTTAATGACCAAAAGTGTCAAAATGGGTAAAAAAGAAGGGGCAAAGTTGACAAAAAAAAGGCAAGTTTACTATAAAGGGTTGGAATTAGCAAGTTTTTAAAAAAGTGACCAAAGTTGACAATTCTTTAAAATTTTGTGGCCAAACTTTGAATATTAAAATGTTCCTAAAAAATTGAAAAAAATTTGATTTTAATGACCAAAAGTGTCAAAATGGGTAAAAAAGAAGGGGCAAAGTTGACAAAAAAAGGCAAGTTTACTATAAAGGGTTGGAATTAGCAAGTTTTTAGAAAAGTGACCAAAGTTGTCAATTCTTTAAAATTTTGTGGCCAAAATAGAAACATGACCAAAAATGTTAAAATAGGTAAAAAAGAAGGGGCAAAGTTGCCAAAACAAAGGCAAGTTCACTATTTCATAAGGAACATATTATCCCTATTCTAATAAATATATAGTTTTAATCTCCTTTTACCAAATGTCACTCTAATACAACTCCTCATTAATATTATATCATGTGTCGTGTAGATATATTAGGCAACTCATTTCAAAATTCAAATTTATATTTTCTAATTATATGTTAAATTTGAAGTTATAATAACTTTAAAAATTTGATATATATCTCTCAATTAATAATTTATTTAAAATAATTAATTAATAACTATAAATTTTTATTATAAAAGTTTAATTAATTTTATAACCCATGGTTCCCACGGTTATAAACTAGGTAATATATATATATATATATATATATATATATATATATATATATATATATATATATATAAATTGATGTTGGTGTTGGAGTTACTTTTCATGAAGTAGAGGAGTCGGCGGGGTTATTAAAATGTTGGAATTTTTTACTTAGAAAAAAAAAAAAAAAAAAAAAAAAAAAACTCTGGGGATTTTAGAGGGTGGAGGGTGTCAAAGAGGGAATTTATTTGCTTTTAGTACACTTCTGTTGTTTAAGTGGAGAATGAAGTCATTAAGTGTGGTGATGCGATGTGGATTTGGGTTATTAAAGCGATTTATGGATTGGTTTCTTAATATTTATCAACTTATTTGTATTGACAAATTAAATATATATTATACGCACTCTTAAATTATAAAAACATCATGTGTGTTAGATGGCATTGATGCATGTTTAATATTTGGAAGGTTGCGTCACTTGCGTGTTCCAAACCATCCACTAAACTTTAAGATCTAGACAAAATTGTACGAATGGTCATTGTGGTTAGCTGAATCGCGCATAGGGGTTGGAAAAAGCAAAGCATATATGTAGCTCCAAATCCTTGAGGTGTTGGTCTCTGAAATCAGTCAATCTAGCTTACAAATTATATTCTCCATCTTTAGAGTATCGATTCAACCACTTTTTATTTTTAAGACATCGATTTCACTTGTATAACAGTTGGTTCTAATCAAAGTGTTGATGAATCGATGCATGGAGGTGGGATTCAGAATGTGCTATGGTGACGGAGTTGTAGGTCGGAATGGTGGTAATGTCTTCAAGAAGAGAGAGAGAGAGAGAGAGAGTACATATTTTATTTATTTATTTTTATTTCTTTATTAAAAAATTATAAAAACAAAATAGAAAAGATATTTTTTTTCTTTTAATCAGAAAAATATTTAAATAAATAAAAAAACCGAAAAAGAAAAAAGTAAAGACACAATCGCCATTATGAAAAAGTTCAAAACAAATTAGATCAAACTCACAACAAAATGAAAAGTTTAGACCTCTGGTGCTAATCCAAACATTTTTCGACAAAAATGACAATTTTCGACATACCACATGAACCATTCTTGCCGTTTTGTCTAAGATCTAATACTCTAGTGCTACCATTCCATCCAATAATTGAAACTATTTTAGTTACGGAAATCTCGAAAAAAATCCTAAATTTTTGGGAAAATTAATGATTAAATCCCACTTTTCGGGTTGGCCTTTTTTGCCCGATTAAACATTTATTCGGATAACCCAGACAGAATAACCTGAAACCTGAATTGGGCAACAATAGATACCCGAAAACCGACCCAAATATAACTTAATCGGTCCTAATTCAGGTCGGTCTGGTCTGGGTTTCGGTTTTGGTTCGAGTATTCGGTCCAAACGCACATCCCTAATAGCACGTGTGGCTTTAACGCTAGGCTGTACAACTTTTCGTGAAACTATGGCTGATTTCATCTATATAAAGATTATCTCATAGAAAAATAAATAAGAAAAACAAGTGACGCAACATTCGAACTCCACTCATCCAACACTTAGAGCAAACACTAACATTTCGTAGTCTTTCCCATCCCATTATATATATCGTACTTACTCGAATCCTTTATTATACTTTAAATAAGAAAATAATTATTATTATTATTATTATTATTATTAAAAACGTAGTTATACATTTTAAAAACATATATTCGTTATCTTAGGATTATATATATATATATATATATATATATATATATATACCAGGGAAATTGTAAAGGCCGTCCTAAGGACGGCCCAGTGTCATAATGGATGGATTATGTAAGAGGGTTACAATTACATAACAAAGAGACATTTCTTATTTATTCTATAAAAAAGAAAGAATTGTTAATCATATAACCCAAAACCCAAAATATCACCCATGATAATGCATCATTCACTACTTTCTTGTTCTCAATCTTGTTTATCATTTCTCAATCTTGTTTACTTTAATGATAAGCCAAAGATATCCACTTGAACAAAGGGAGGCATAAGCAAAAACTCATTAGGTCTTAAATTAAAATCATCTCCAGGACTTGCAACATCAGTGGTCACCTTATATCAGTTTAAATTTAAGAAATTGACTCATTAATTTCAGACACACCACATGTGAAAGTAGCAGCTTAACCATCTGTTATAAGCCTTTTTTGTTGCTTCAAGGTTTTAATGGTTTTTTACAGGCTTACAAAAGAGTTGGGAGGATGATTCATGATGGAGAAAATAGTCATATGGAATTATTGGAGCCATAGATGTCACCAATATGATTGTGTGCTCTTTTTATTTTATATCATTGTTCACTTAAATATCATAAATAAAAGTTATTATAAAAGAATAAAAAACTCTATTATTTTTTATAAATTATGCACTTTAAAAGATCTTGCTAAAAGGTTGTTATTATGACCAACACTAATAAGTAGATTGCTATAATAGGGACTTTTGGTAAAGAACGTTGTTATTTTTTGCATTTTAATCCAATAAATTTATTATTTCAAAGATACATATTTGGTAAATAAAGAACTTTTGTGACCCAACAACTACAACCGATTGAATGCAATAAATAGCAACGTACTTTCCATGATTTGGTTATCATATTGTCGTACATTCATCTCTTCCTAATAGAGCACTGTACTTAAAATGTCTCTCAAATTTTTGCAATGGCATCCAAATACACAACAATTTTCATTTCTATAACAGGTAGATTTCTTAAAGTATAATGTACAACAACAAATCAAGAAATGTTGAAATAACTGATTTACAAATAAGAAGGGCCAAAGGGTAAAAAAGGAAACTTACTTTAGTTATTTAATTTAGGACGTCCATAAGTTGAATGTAAGAAGCTCCGCTCATCATTTTTTGTAGATAACATTTCCAAATTTACCACCATTGCAAACCATCTTGCAAAGCCCACTCTATACACAATACTGATCTTCCTCGGATCACAATCTCTTTTAAATCTATCTATTGCAATTTCAAAAACCATCGGACCCAACTAATGTTCATCAAACCCAACATATACCGAAGATGACATGCCATAAATTCTGCTTGTGATCGTTGTTTCCCAAATTAGTATCATTTAAGTTTTAATCAACAATTCGATCATTGATTTACTCTCATATGACATATCCTTCATCATCATCCATCTCAAACAAACTGTCAATATTTTCCTGACTTTCTCAGTTTGATATGAGCATTTCACAACCCGAATATTTGTATGGTTCAGGAAATTCAAATAACTTGCATGTGTATGAATGAAACAAGCTTTCCCGTAATTCAATTTAAAAGATATACATGAATTATTGATATGCAAATTATGCATATACACCATGGATTAGCGAATGACAGATGTCGTTAACATTTTATAAAGATGTAGCAATCCATGTGTTGGTCCTGCAACTTTTATGGAAATCCTTTAGTAGTTATAATTAGTTTGACTTTTTAACAGACCTAATAATTACACATTCATTTTAGATAAACCTGAGTTAAGTATGGAGTGGGTAGGCCCATATACAGCATGACGCTTATTGCCGGTATCTATCCAAGAAAACATCCAACTATGTACACAATAATCAGAAAATTAGAAGAGAAGGGAAACTAGAAGTATATATGCAGGCTATTTAAGCTTAGGGTGGAAGGAAGAAGCAAACCTGTTGGTAAAAATGTGTTTCTAATACTCCGATTGACTCTTAAATTAATGCTATGCAAACGACAATACTTGAGCCTTCTTCCTTCAAGACATCGAGGTATCAAACAGAATCTTAGATACAAAGCAAAAAGAAAAAGAAAGATGAAACTTACAAGATCAGGAATGGATAAAAATGAAGAAATATATGATGACGACATGTGTGAAAAGGATGTAATATGCGACAATAAAACGAATAAAGAGAATAATTAAAAGAAAACACGGACGCATAACGAAACGGACCCTAGTAAATCAAATAACTGAGGATGATGGAGCGCAGTAGCCAACACCTGTGATGCAAGTAGAATCGCACATTAGTTCCAAAATCGAAAACACCAAACATTTAAGAGAATATGCAGAGCAAACAAGGAAAATAAGGAGAGAGAATTTAGAGGGTAGATGGAGCTTTTTCTTTGATCGATTATTGGCGAGATATCAAATAGAGAGAGGAGAGTAGTCTTGAGAAAGGATTGAAAGCGGTGAATAAGACGTACGGTGGGATACAGGTGTTCACCATGATGGATGATGAATATACAAAGAGGCAATCGTTATAAAAGAGAGGTTTCAGATTATAGATTAGGAATGAGGGAATAATTTATTAAGACGAATAAATGAAATCACCAGTTGAAATTTCAAAACCCTTATGACTTTAGGACCTTAGAATCAGAAACATAAAATAAACCACTATTAAAATAAAGATTGATCGATGAACTCACCTGAATGAAAGTGAATCAAATAATATCCTTCAAAGTTGCTTGTTAATCCAATGATAGAACCAGATGGATTATCAGTTATCGAAACCTATATTAGAATGTGGGGAGCAAACAGTTCATAGAAAACCGGTAGTATGAAGTTATGGCATCAATATGAAACAATAGTTATGCTTCTTATCTACAAAGAAACCCATCAATTGATCAACTACAGAGGAGCGTTGGCGAAATGCGCAAACGTCTGCATATTGGGTTGTTGGGTAGAGAAAGGTGATGAAGGTAGTAGTGTATTGGGAAAGTAGGGAAGCGTTGGAGGAGGTGAACGGAAGCGTGGAGGTGAAGATTTGACTTTTCAAACGGTGGCACATTGTCCCATTTAGTGGAATAACAAGGAAAGTGTTACCCCGGCGTTGCGGGGGTTATTTGGTATTACGAAAGTTTGTTTTTGTGAATCTTTATAACCATGTTTGACGTTAGTGAATTATCCATGAATTCTTTTTTACTCTTTAAGTATTAGTCAACCGTTGCTAAATTTTTTTTATGAGGTTTTAACATTTTTGTTGATCAAATAAGCATTTTTGTAACAGTGTAAACGATAAACAAAATAGACGATACCAACTTATTTAAGATCAGGAATAATTACATACTAACATCATAACGTTTAGTGATGCTAGCAAAAGATTAGTGGAATATCATAAAAATTATAAGCCCATAAGGTTTATTATCCAAGGAATTATATGTCTAATGAAACCTTGATTCCAAAGTGGAGGAACTTGGAACCCCTGAAACACAATAATCTACCCAAATAGGTCATTTAAATACAAAAGAAAATTGGCTGGCTTAATCAAGATTATTTGCAAAATTCGAAAGTATAATGCTATATTTGGTAGATTTTTAAAATACAATGGCTTAATAAGAAAAACGGAAGAGTTATTTGTATTTATTTTCTGCAGGTCCATTTGCTTTTCGTGTAGAAGAGCAACAATTTAATAATTTGGTTCGAGATATTTGAGTAGCTTATTTGAGATATTTGTGATGCTTTTGTCATGTTTTAAGCAATTGACAATGATACCCTTTGATGTATAAACAAAAAAAAACAGAAAAGGGTAATGTAGGCATTTTACTTGGAACATGACCAAAAACATTACAAAAAAGGAAAACTTTTGTAATTTATTTTAAAATTAGATAAAAAAAAAGATGGAAAAGCGAACCTTGTTAACAACAAATCATTTACGTTAATCTTCCAAAGCTGATATATTTTAGATTGATCACACACCCGGGAAACATAATCCACCTGTGAATCAATGAAAATACTACATATCAAAAAATAAGTAGGGGTAGGGTAATTATATAAAAGGAGTTAAAAAAAATTGGTAAATATTTAAAAAAAATATAAAAACATATAATAATGTTTTTTGAAAAATGATATATTGTATAAAAATTTATAAATGACTAAATATATTAAAAAAAAACTTTGTTATCTTACAAATTAACTAACCAATGAAAGAGTCGAAGGAACCTGGCTAAAATTTTTTATTTTGAACGCATGAACCATATATGAATTTACTTTTTATAAATCATGTAAAAGAATACATTAACCGAACACGTAAGTATGTAACAATACACAATTTACTACCTATCAAACCATTAAAACATTTAACTGCCACGTTCATAAACACCAATGTAATATGTAGTCAATTCAAAAAATATTAAATATAAAGTAGAAAACGTTTTTTATAAAATGAAGTCACTTGGTCAATTACCCAAATGAAAGGGTTACTAAAAAATACTGATACCTCGTGTTAGTATAATCCATATTCATTAATAATCACATGTTTCATTCCATAAAATGGAGTAATTAAGATACGTAAATGCAATTACCATGTAAAAATATATAGGAACTATACAAAGAAACAATAGGGTTAATTGTTAAGGTTCAAATGGCATTTAATGTAGAGGAGGAAAGGTCAAAAAGAAAAACTTAGTGAGCGAAAAAGAGATATACCTGCTCATCTTTATCGATTCCCACAACGTCTACAAGACTTCGTGTTTCCAACTCTTCTCTTCCATCATCAATATTTGCTACTTCATAGCAATTAGTTGGATCCAAACGAAACGATCTCAGATATCCTAATTTAAATTTCTTTGCATCCTAAAAACATTCATTGATACTCTTACAAACATTGTAAATATCAAAAAAGGCTAGATAGAAAAATCTGGAATAATTAAAGTTACCTCTGGAGGTGTTGCACAAAGTAAATTTATGCCAACGCTGCAGGATCTAGCACCATTAATGGAAGTTTTTGATTCTATTTCAAGCACAACAAAGAAGGTAAATATTGTTTATTGTTTTATGATGTTAACTGTAAAGGTTTTCATTGTTAAGTGGATTTATAAATGATTGTAACACAAATACCTGAATCAGATGAACTTGATGGCTTCCTGACTAAAATATATGTGAACCTGGTCTCTGTTGACGTGGATGTCAATATTGGAGTTGCCTGATCAAGTAGTATCACATAACCGAAGGATCAATTTATGAATTAAAGCTATGGTAAGAAATTGTTTTAAGAGATAATTCTTGAGTGTGAAAACATCAAATGGATTAGCAACAGCTCCCTCCCAATCTTTTGCAATAATTTAGCTTCACCCCTCTAATTATGATTTCTAATTAGTCAAATTACATAACATTGTTAATGAGTGAGATATTAGAGAGGATAAATAAGTTAAGAACCTGAATCAAAGTTCTATGGTCTCAACATAACTGTGAAATTAGCTATACAGGGTGTTTATGAGCAAAGAGAATAGCAATAAAAATAACTCTAATTTTTGCATGTGATTCGAATCCTAATCACAAATTAAATGAATCTAGAGGCAGTTTTTTAAAGCATGAAAGCTCTGTTTGCACCATTGCTCATAATTATGTTACTGAACTCAAAAAACTGATGTGATTATGTTCACCATGTGCATAGTAACAATTCAAACCTTCACCAATTCCAACCTACACAAAAGGATTTTAACATAAGCAAGAATATCAAAAGTAATAAAAAGGAACATGAGAAGAGGTAAAACTTTTACATCCTCATGTGCTTCTCCAAGGGCTTCTCCGTCTTTCTTTCTCCTCCAACTATGACCATCTTTACAAAAAAAAAAAAAAAAAAAAAAAAAAAAACCTCAGGACCTTGCTGTCAAGGAGAAACAAATAGCCACCTATAGAAGCATGTAATCAATAAGGTAGGTAACCACAAAATATCAGTTTCAAAACTTAGTAAGAAAGTGTAATAAAATGAAATTTGATATGCTTTTCAAAGTTTCCAATACCTCAGAGCATAAATGTATGTGATCGCACCGAGTAGAACCGGATAACGTACACCCAGCTGGAAATCATTTTCTAGGGCAGGACCGCAACCCAGTGAGGGATTAATCCCACAATTAAAAACAACAAAGCACAAATTAGAAAAAATTAGGGCTCAAACCTACCTGGATCGGGTTCATCATCTCCGGTAATACCTTAACAGGAGCTTTTGCCGGAGGCTTTCTCCTCGCCGGAGCAGTGTTAGGTCGATGAAGTGATCATTTACATCATCATCAAACCCTAGATAACAACACGTAGGTGGATAGAAATTAGAGAGCGGTGGATGGAATTAGAGAGCGGGTAAGATGCAGATAAGAATATCAGAGACGAACAAAGATAGAGATTAAAACACAAATTGAGATGAAGGCGGTGGAACGTCAAAGAGGCGCACTGAAAGAGTCGAAATCGAAAAGAGAAAGAGGGAGAAAAACGTTTGTTGGAAGAGGGTAAAAATGATGCCTTCGCTTTGAGATAGAAGAAAAATAACGGAGATGAAAGCATACCAGATGAAGATGGATTGGCTGACAATGGCTATTCCTGCCCGCCGGCGAGGCCGTCACCAAGCAGCAGCAGCGACACATCTGATTCCTTCACGGCCTCTTGCAGTTGGTGGGAAACAGACACAAATCTACGGGAAGTCATCAAAGGAAGAAAGGCTTTCTGGATGAAATTGGAACAAGAAAGGGGCGAAGTCAAAGGCGGTGGACTGTAATAAGAGGCTAAAGTGGCAAAGGTCTGAAAGTGTAAAAGTTTGGTGGCAAAAATAGGAAAGCAAAGAAGTCACTGTAGATAAGGCTCCCCAGATTTAAGTGTATATATAATATAATATAATGAGTAATGAACCATATACCTATCTATTAGGACCCAACCCGACAGAAGCCTGCTTAAAATCAAGAAAAAACAGCCGAAAATCCAAGAAAAATCCCAAAAAATCCCACACTTATTCCACATTAATCCACATTTCCCATTTTGCTTAATTTTTAAAGCATAGGGTTCCACTTTTGTCTTGATGCTGAGGTGGAACTCCAAAAAAAATCATCATAATTCCAGCATAAATCATCCAAAAATCCCTATTAAATCTCAAGACCCACTTTCCTCTGTTTTTAAGACATGGGCTTTATTTATATATATAAAATAAGATAATATATATATATATATTATATATATATATATATATATATATATATACTTTTAAAAACATATAAATAATTTATATGTATTATGAAAAAATATTATTAAAACATATAAAAACTTTATACGCATAAAAACAAATTTATATGATTTTATATGTATTTTTAATAAGAAAAGCATATTTAAATATGTATTTTTACATATAAAAATATTTACACACAAAAACATTTTAATATTATTAAAAAATACGTATAAAACGTAACACCCGCAAATTCCCGCCAAATATTTAAGATAGTAATAGATAACAATTATTATAATTAAAATCCTCAAGTGGGATAATTATTCGTCGTGCGCCTTACGAGCGATAAATAGATATTTTTGGTAGAAATAATCTTGATGACAGTTATAGTAGTCGTGATGACGATTTTGTGGGTAAATAGAATGTTTAAATCTGTCTTCGTATGAAGAAGTTAAGATTGTTCGAAGTTTTGTGTTCCGCCCTGTACGACAAAAAGTGTGTCGTAAAATATGAATCAGAAATAGGTTGCTTATTAGCATAGGTGATCTAAACAAAAGTTGTAGTAATCGTAAAAGAAAGAGTGTGGATATAAAGAACGCCTACATATGACTTCGTATGATGAAGTTATGATTTTTCGAATTTTCGACGTAGCAGTGTACGCAACAAAAATTGAAATCAAAATCAGTTGAGTGTTAGCCAAAGCAATGTAAACGAAGTTGAAAATCTCGTGAATACAACTCTGTCGACATAAAGACAGTCGATAACAGAGTTTGTGTATAACAGTCTAAGCCCTATAAAAACATAAAATAAAAAATTCAGTGAGAATTAGTCGATGAAGTCTAAATAAAAGTTGTATTACTCGTCGATAGTTATGCGTGGATATAAAAAAACATCGAAAACAGAGCTTATATGAGAAAGATACAATTTTTAGAAGAAAAAAAAACCTAAAGTTCTAGCACACGACGCGTCTAGGTTCTAGAAGGGCAACACGGACCACCCGGACTTCGACACATGGCGACAAGGCAAAGGAGCATTGGCGCCTTAGGGTGTTGCGTGCCTCCCCATAATTACTATAAATAACAGTGAAATCTTGCTCATTTCCACACAATTCAGTCTCATTCTCTCTGAGACGTTTTTTACTATTAAATCCAATTTTTTCCAGCTTTTAGAATATTTTAGTAGAAGTTCTAGAGCACTAGGAGCCCGACGAGGAGAAGCTTTCGATCCGGAGTTTTGCCCGCGAGTTTCCGGTTATTTGCTAGAAATTTATGTAAGTTAAGCTACATGTATTACGCTTTAACTGTAACTTATGTTTATGTTCATTATCATTGTTATGAGCCTATAAACAAGATTTACTAGTGATTCCATGTCATAATACTGATTGATCTACATATGAGAGTGATGTCTAGGCTATATCTAGTGAGGTGTTTGTATACCAAACGGACCCTACCTCCGATATGATCTTACCTGATTATTCCTTATTTGATAGATCTCGATGTATTTATTAGGATTGTTGAGGAATCCAGGAAATAGTATAAATACGAACGAATACTGAAGCATAGTAAAATTCATATTTAGGATGTTGGAAGAGATAAGCTGAATAGATAGCAGAGGAGCTAGCTTCCCCAATGATCTTCCACCTAAGCCAAATGAGTGCATAGTTATTTTAATGAACACAATTTTAATACAAGTATCTATTAAATGTATTGCGTGCTTATTGCATGGAATATGTGCTAGATGTATATTGATAATATACGTTGTGCGAACCAGATATGGTTCTATATGTATTAAAATGTATATATAATATTACCACATGATAATAATAATAAAAGTATGATTACTAAGAAGATAAATGTAGATTAATACATAATACTTTGTGTTAGATATATACACTAAGATAGGATAGTGTTGCCTAAACAGAGATGATATTGGGAGTTGATTATAAGTATTGTAGTCTTGCCTAGGGATAAGATAAGACTTACAAAGGATGCTTAGTGTCACAACTGACATTTTTGCTAGGAAATTATATTCTCATGAAACCATCGTCTATTGTAAGGCTTGTACTCTAAGTGAATACTACACTCTATGCTCGTTCAAATTCATCTCATATGTGCAAGTAAGGGTTGGAAACCCTAGAAATCCCGGCTCAAGTTCATTATGGACTAGGATTCTCTTATTGGGCCTAAGGGACCAATAAATCATCAATGCATCAAATCTATAACATTTTCGACCATTTGGGCCTAGAATGATTCATTCTAACCCTAATGGGCCTTATTGGGCCGTAACAACTCCAATTAACCTTAATGGACGTTAGAACCCATTCTTTTATACTATTGGGCCGTGAGATACACTTAAGGGTCCAATGGGCCGAAACATATTTATTGGGCTTCACCAAAATCGAGCAAAGCCAAGAGTGGGCCAAACTAATTCAATTTCATCCATCTTAAGCCCAATTATCGACCCAATGAGGAAAAGAAAAAAGATATGAAGGATTCTCTTAAACATGACACCTAAGTATTTTATGAAGGTAATCTATGCATTACCTCTCATATCTCCATGCCAAACCCTTCATGTAATGACCAATGATCCTACTTCTCCCATTCTCCTTAAATCTCGGCTATGAGATCCAAAAATCATAACCACACTCATTCTTGTATACAAAAATCTCTTAAAGAAGCTCCCAAGAACTCCTACATTTTCCTCTAAATTTTCGAGCTTTGTGGGTGCTTTCAAGAGGATTCTTCATCAATATCACCATCTTTGGAAAGTTTTTGCTTAGATCTATGATTTAACTTCTTGATCTCTTCAAAAATCCCTTCTTAACTCATGCCATTTCGTGATCATGCTTCTTAGAACCCTCTAAGTTCGAAAACTTTCTTCAAGGAACTTGCTAGGGCCGAGATCTTCACCTTATTCTTCATCAAAACCGAAAACTTCAAAGCCAAGTGAGTTCATACCCCCTTGTTTTCGGTTTTTACTTTGTTTTGGGGGAGAATACAAGTTGTGTTGTGTAGATCTATGTGTGTATGCATGAATATGTGTGTTTTTCATGATTTATTTGGTGGTTATGTGTTATTTACTTCATAAACCTAAAAGTATGTTAAGAATATTAAGTTTATCACTTGGATCTACATGAAAACCTTGAGAAAAGTATGTTTTATCACATATAATACATGTAAACTAGTAGATCTGGGATTTATACACTTAAAATAGTAAAAATGAGTGTTGTGTTCCAAGATCTATAAACTAAACTCAAAAATCAGCCTTTCACAGGAAAGTTTTGGTCCAATCTCGAACTGTTTTGACCACCTAAATGATAATATTTTTCAAAACTGTTTTACATGAAAAAAATTTAGGTTTCTACCTTTAAAATGACTACTCTCACGTTTTCATACGATTTTTCTACAATTTTTGGCGAATTTTACAAAACTGCCCATCAGATTTGAAATAATTTCGGACCAGCCTGTGAAGGTGAGCAATTTCACACTTGTTAGAAGCCATTAAAAATTATGAGAAAAATTGTGAACAAAGTAGACAAAATTTCCAAACTTCCAGAATTTACGGATCCAAATTTCGACTTACGATGATTTTTCTACAAATTTTTCCAACAACTAGGTCGGACCCAAAACCAG